TATATATAAACGTATACACCAAAATTTTGAGTATATTTACAAAAAGATACATCACGCTTTAACAATGTGCCATATGCACTTTCTCTCATGACGTGTACACTTTGAAACAACAACATTGTTTTTAGTTTAACTTGTGTTAGACAACCCATAAAATAAATATGAAGTACGTGCAAATATTATTAACGTGCATATACGATTCTAAACCTGGAAAACAATAATAAGTACGTAAAGGATTTTTCCTTTACGAAAAAGTAGGAAACGATTAAATCGGTTTTAAAATATTTTTTGTACTCCAAGATAAGCGAGTCTACATTAACTTTCTGAATGTGTAACAACTCGTTTTCAATCAGTGATCTCTACAAATCTTAACTACTCACAATCAGCCAAAAACAATAAAAATTAAGGATTTGTTACTAGTATTTTATTCAACTATTACAAATTTATTTCAAAGATTTTTACGTAATTTGATCATCATATTAAAACGTGTCCTGTACCTAATACTGAATTTTACCATGATCTCATTTTTAATTAATGAGTTTTAATAATAGCTTTTGAGATTAAATGTGCCTATTCAAATACATGATCCAATAATATAAGATAACTAAACACTATCGCTCTATACCTCATCGTGGTATTACAGCAATCCCCCACCCGATAGCGTTTCGTTTACTATTAATCCACCATTAAGTTAGTTGATTGAATTGTTTTATTTATTGTCTACTTATATGCTAAGTACAGGCAANCGGAGGAATTGTAATATTCCACAGCTAATCTTCCAATTTTATTTTCCTGTTTTCATTTCGTCTAACTCATCTGTACCTCCCAAATCACAATGACCTCTCTCTCCCAATATTCCTTGTGTAGGGTGGAGGAATTGTAATATTCCACAGCTGATCTTCTAATTTTCTTTTTTTGTCTTCATTTTGTCTAACTCATCTGCATCTCCTGAATCACAATGACCTCTCTCTCCCAATATTCCTAGTGTAGGACGGAGGAATTGTAATATTCCACAGCTAATCTTCCAATTTTATTTTTCTGTCTTCATTTCGTCTAACTCATCTGTGTCTCCTGAATCACAGCGACTTCCCTCACCCACTATTCCTAGTGTAGGGCGGAGGAATTGTAATATTCCACAGCTAATGTTCCAATTTTCTTTTTCTGTCTTCATTTCGTATAACTCATCTGTGTCTCCCGAATCACAATGACCTCCCTCTCCCAATATTCCTAGTGTAGGACGGAGGAATTGTAATATTCCACAGCAAATCTTCCAATTTTATTTTTCTGTCCTCATTTCGTCTAACTCATCGGTATCTCCCGAACCACAGCGACCTCCCTCTCCCACTATTTCTAGTGTATGGCGGAGGAATTGTCCGTCCACCAGCATAAGAGGCTGGTGGGAATAAAACATGCAAGAGATTTTTTTAACTTGTACCCACAGTTGGGGATCTGTGATGTTCAAGTTTTTGGAACATGTGAAAGATGACCTTACGATTATGATGGCTCGAGTTTGTATCACTGTTTTCATTTATGGATTCCGACGCATCTCGTTTTTGATAGGAAAAGAGGAATATCGAAGGAAGACAAATTAACTTGTGTATATTCGGCAATGATTTAAATACCCTGCTACTATCCCGCAATGAATTTTCGCAATTTAAGCGATTGCTGGTCGTCGGAGGCGATGAATAAATCACGAATGTCGTATTCCGGTGACAAGGAGGGAGGTTGGAGTTCCATTTATCTCCACACGGCACGGCGACTATCTACTACGCTTTCCCTATTGCCGTCCGAGGCGTCGCGACGCAGAGCACTTGTACGGACTACTGCGGAAGAACCTTTACCTATATAATGTAACCTACCCCTGTGATTTATGATGCGAATCTAACGAAAGAAAGGACTGTTTACACGGAGATTTAATCGATCTTCACGAGTAAATCGTCACAGAATCACTTTAAGGTGCAACTTTTTCGTTACGTTTTTTATTCTGTCAGCGACTACAAAACAACGCCCATTTTTCCTTCTACAATTCTTAGGTACCAACAAAGGGTAAAAGACTTTTCTATTGCCTACAAAGTATATTTTTCGAAGAGAGCAAATATGTATTTCCTTTACCTTCCTAGGGCGAAGAATTTTGTGATTAAACTTCTAAATTAAATTATATTTCTAGTTTTTTAGTACCACAAAAACAGATGGTGACTTCGAAAAAAACGTAACGTTCTGATGAAATCCGAAAATCGCCAAAAAATTGATGAGATATCCTAATGAAAAGATTCACTTAAGAAATTTCAAAATATTTTTACTAATAATTTCAATAAAATCAAACGGATAATTTTAAACTCTTTAATCCTGTCTATGATTCCAATTAATGATCCCTGTTGTCATGATCATCACCACCATCTTTTGCTACAAAATTGGTATATTGATTTTTCATAACAAATGAATTTTGATGTGACATACGAAGATTATTAATTAATAAGCGAAACACACAAGCTATATACGTATATTTATATAAAAGAGTTTATCGCATGCGGAAGTAGTTGCTTCTCCTTGTGTCCGAAAAGGCCTTGCAACATTACTTGCTTGTGATCAAGGTAACGGGTAACGGGGCGCACCAGTTTTAAAAGGGGTGATTTATGATTTTCGGAGTGTAGGGCAGAAGGAACTCCAACGACGAAAGAACATGAAAAGGTTTAATATATGCTTCTAGGTAAATTCGGCGTTGTTCGTTGCAAAACGAGCACGAAAGTTAAATGCGACCCTCTTGACAGTGATTTACCGGTCGGAGAATTTTTAACACTCACTTCAGATCGACCGAGACGCCATTAGAGGGCATCCAGGTTCTGCTCTCGGCGCCCCTTTACCGGAAGAAAAAAATGTCACCGTCGCATTACGAACGTTGTAAGCGCAGTTAATATAAAAAGTTCCCCGACCGCTCGGGAAACTGCCGGAAAAATGTTCTGTTTCCCGACCAATTCTTCCGCAAAAGATGTTGGAAACATACGGCACGAATAAGAATGAAGGCAATATTTCTGTTTGTCAAACAGTTATACACTGAAAAAGTACGTTTTAAAACGGCATTTAACAAAAAAAAAACAAAAACGACATTTTTATCCATTATCCTAAGTTCTAAAGCATTTCATCAAAACGTCGAAGTTTATTGACATTAAGTACTTATGATGTTTAAATAAGTCTTAGTCAATGATTTTACCCAAAATCAAAACACAAAGGTAATGTTAATCATGTAGATAGTACGAAAATGAATATTATAGAAAAATACACACGAAAATGAATATTATAGAAAAATACACACGAAGATGAATATTATAGAAAAATATACCTTTCATTTACGGAGAGAATACATGATACTTTTATAATATTCGTCTTCACAAACCCGAACATTTTCACGCAAATAAAATCATGAAATATATGTATATTTATTGAGCACGTTTTAGTCACGTATGGGTGAGCCGTGTCGCCCATCATTGCGCACTGCTTTTTAATAAGCGTAAAATATGCCGAGACCTTTAATTTGATGCACTTAGATAAGAGGCAGTTATTTGTACACAAATTACTCAAACAATTTTAATTAGTAGTTATCACAATAAACAAAATATGTTTACTCTTTTTTCACCAGAATGACGGCTCTTTTGTGAGTACTTGTATTATATATTTCAACCAATTCGATAAATTGAAAATCGGGTAGAGATGAGGAGTTTATAAAATCTGAACATATTTCGTCTTTCAATATTAAAAGCCGTATTTAACTAAACGACCCTGAGAACGAGAATTTCAACTTAAACAAATTTATTTTGGAGTCGAAATGTTTATTTTGTAAAACTCGAAATTCGAATCAACAGTTTTCCTTCTTCGTGGTAATAACTAATTTAAGTACTCACAAGGAATTCGCTTTTGTAATAAACAGGTTTATTAATAAATCTTCCGTCTGTATAGCCAACAAATAAATAATTTACCTGATAAATAAAAATGGCTGGTATTTGAAGGACAAACCACCACAGTGGGTAGTCATTTATATTGTAATATGTCATACTCCATCCCCCATTTGCAACGTAACATGCGATCAAACTGGAAACCGTGCAGTTGACAAAAAGCGTAAATGATCCCATTAGAATTTCGTGTCTTTCCAATTCCGGGGACAAAAATTTGTGCGGTTGACACTTCCATTTTTCCGGTGTATCACGTTGCCGTACGTAGAAGTACCACTAGAAAAATTATCTCGCTAAATACACATCAAATATGTAAGTGTCCTTTGCGGCAGCTGTGAAGTTTTTGATAAATTGGTAGGTACGACAATATTTTTCGAAAAAGTCCGCTAAAATATTTCCAACTTAAAGGAATTTCTTATCGGATCATGATCTACCCACTTGTTAATTCTTTTATGATTCGATAACACGAACATAAATATGACAATTACTAACGGATTACGGTTTACACAATGGCAATTTGTCAAACAAAACGAAACTCCTTACTGAAAGATATCATAAACTATTAGCTCAGTAGGACTCTACTTACATGTAAAAAACCTCCGATGAGAATAAACATTGAATATGATACTGCTATGCTACTTAACCAAAAGTATTTAAAGTCAGTAAGAAAAAAATTTTTTGCCTTAAAGTAACCTAATTGTTTACTAAGATGAACGGTGATGTTTATCCATTCTCCTGTAACAAGAAAAATGACTCATTTGCCAGAGCTCTACAAGAGACTTAATAATCAATTGTTTTTCTTAGATAAAACAGTTGAAAATTGAAAATTATTAATAGCAGAAGCCGTGTTTATAACCCTGCGGAACTCCACAGTTACAAATGAACACTAAACGAACAAAAACAGCAAAAAGAACGAAATTTTAAGTAATTTTATTTAACTGAATCTCGACTCACCGTTGAAGGAAACTCCTAATAAAAATACTGCAATTGCGGCTAGGGTGCCTCTAAGAAAATCAGGCAATTTACCCCACACAACGTCAATTTTATCACTGTACTTTTCACTCCAGTTCATTGACATGGGGTCATAAAAAACTTTTGGTTTGCAATTGTCTTGTTTGGCATCCATGGTTGTTGAGCGAGGCGCGTTCAAGACAACCGCTTAATAAAAAACCCACATTTTCCTTCACTTTTCGTTAATATATTGATGCGAATATCGACTTTATCTCAGAATGGATCGTAAGCACTTTTGATAAATTTTTCACTCTTTCAAGAAAGGAAGATTAGATATATATATAAGAAGGTATAGATTCCTATATAAAAAAATAATAAATTTTCGACAGTTGTTAAACTAGCATTATAACATGCCAATGTTAGATGCCTCGTTTTATACCCCACCCGATAGCGTTTCGTTTACTATTAATCCACCATTAAGTTAGTTGATTGAATTGTTTTATTTATTGTCTACTTATATGCTAAGTACAGGCAAACTTGTTAAAAAGTTCAGGTGTACCCGACAGGTATTTTGCGTATCAGTTTGTTATCAAAAAGGTGTTAGGCATTTACGTGTATGTACACTAAGCAAATGGGTGTAACAATACATTCGTGCTATTTACCGGTTTTAAAGATTAAAGCTATTGTGCCGGTTGAAAAATGTTGCTATTTGTGGTTTATTATTTTTTTTTAGAAGTAATGGAAACTGTCTATCAGTTTGACAAAACAGCTGGATTTTCTACAATAACGTCATCGTTTGCAATTGTTTTGATAACTTTTATAAATTCTCGTCAGCAAGTACAATGCACCTGGAGACCACTTCAGTTTATCAACACATCATCAATCCCCGATAAAAAGGATATAAAAACCATAAAAAATACATTTTAATTACCTACGATCAAAGTTTGAAAATGTTCGATCGATTCTTTTTAAAAAAAGTTTGTGAAAATCTTGAAGTACTTTTTATTCACATTTGAACATAGATTTTCACCATGTAAAAATTGAAACAATTCAATGCATTTCATAAAAAACAACAACAATAATAAAGTAATTTATTACTAGCAAATAATTGAGCGATTTTTTCAAAAATATCAATTATTTCAAAGAAAGTATCAATTGTTTATCATATAAAATAGTCATATCCAAGCGAAAATCGCCGAAATATTTGGACGTGTAAGTTAGCTCACGCGGTTTTTCTGGTCATGCCAACAATCACGTAATTTATATCATAAATTTTCTAGCACATAGGTTTACATTTGTGGGTATGTAATCAATTTTATCATCAAAATTGTAGTCCGGTTCAAGTGCCATTGTAAAAGATAGTTATCTTCCACATTTTCCACAAAGTTGATTACGATTACTGTTAAAACACTTATTTGTGGGCAGAAAACAAAAGAACATATGAAGTAGGGTGTATTACAAAAGTGACGAATGGTCATTACAAATTTACAGTTTTCTAGGTTTTTCAGGTTTGCATAAAACCAAGTTACCAAAAGTTGATTTTTTTTTGTAACTGATGTGGAAAAGATGCAAGTCGTACTGTGTTTTCTTAAGTAGCGTGTATATTACGTCATAATTTTTACTAATTATTTAGTGACACGAAGGGAAATGTCTTCCCTTAAAATCTGCTTTCAATACATCTAACGAAGTTGTTGAATAAAATTATAAATGTACAACTCTCCTTGTTAGTTTTTCACTAATGTTTAAGTAAAAAAAATATACTGAACGTTATGTTAGATACAAGCACGCATGTAATTATCAATACATTGATTCCCATCGGTTCTCGAGTATGCCTTCAGGCAAGGATTGACTGATGGTCGGCAACCTTTGTACTAAACGCGTTGGGTGACGCATATTTGCCTGCTTAACAACAGGAGTTCAGAAATTCTCGAAAAGAATAAAGACTGTCTCAGACAATTCGACACAAATATAAACGGACTTCCGAATGACTATCGGAGATAGTTATTATGTATAGTAATATACAGGGTGATATAAATACAGTGACGAGTAAATAAACATTAGTAGCACAGTACGATGTACATAAGAAGTAGCTCAGGTGTCTGCATAGTTTTATCGTATAAANGTTGAGAAATAAAAAAAAAAAATTTTTAAAAACCTTGTTTTTCTTGGTCAGGCCGGAAACTTATCAATCCACCCTCGTATAAGTATAAAGTTCCAATAATATAACAATGATTACAAAATTGATACACCAGAAATGTGACCATACACTCCAGTCCCGCAAATTATATTTTAATGAGAAGCAAATTTAAACTTTTGAAATAGTTTACCTATACATAACAACGTCCAATTTCATAGAATAAAATAAGTGTGACAACAGTGGTTAAGTGGACAATTACACGGAATAAATTAATTGCGCGGCTATATGATTCAGCAAGAAAGAGCGAAAACCTTATTAAACGCACAATTAAGTAAATGTAGCACAAAAAACAGGAAACAAAAAACGTAAAGTAGCGTACAGTCCCTTTAATGGGATAATTGGTTTCGTAACTGCTTTGAAAATACTAATTAAAATGTCTATTCTAATATATTTCTCGTAAATTACTTATGAGTTTTCTTGCAGCGTCGTAAGCAATAACAGTAATTGCTAATTATAATTACAAGTGACACTCCTAATGTCAGATAATTACAATCCAAGACTTGGAAGTCTTAGAGGAGTTTGCCTTTTTATATGCATTTCCGTTATGCCTACGTAATTATTCTATTATATTGTAGCGAACACGAGTGTGTTTGTGTGCGATCGGGCACACGTGTGCGCGAACGGCTTATCGATTCGCCGAATAGCCGCGGGCGCCTTTCTTCATGTGCGCCGTATTTGTAAATGTGTGTGTCGTATCTGCGTTCTGGGAAAGCATTAAACAGTTCAAAGAAAAAAGAAACTATCCGGATGTTTCCAGAAGGTTCCAGAAAGTAAACAAAAGAGTATTTAAAAGAAGAAACGATCGCCGAGAGCAGAAGAAATAAATTGACCAAATTGACCGTTGCAGAAGTGAATCCAGAAATAATAAAAAGTGAAATAACTACAGCAGTGAATAGTGATAGTGATCATCAACAGTAGTGTAAATAAATACAGTAATTCATAACCTAAGTTCAGTAATAATTTAATAGTGTTTTTAAGTTCTTTAATACATAGTACAGGTAAATAAATAGTTTTTGTCGTTATCAGTCCTAGAAGTAAATTTTGTTAAACCCACGAACATTACAATATCTATTATCTTTCTGACCTTATCCTGAGGTAAAAGAGATGCTTGATGTGGACAAAATTTAAGAATATAATGATCGAACAGTATTACTATCTTATTCCAAAATGATGAAGATCGTAGATAAATTATTTCCGGAATCATCCAGAAGTCAGCACTTAAATAAATCCACGCAATAAATGTAATAAATTAGAGACGCTGTTTGAAAAATGATAGCGCTTTCGTCCTCTTGGCAAGTGGATGTAAAGAGCGGTAGAGACGATACAGTCTGTAGGATTAATGTTACTGTTTCCTCCATTTCATTTATCCTTCGAACGGACCGACAGTACCGATTCATCAAATTCTAAAAGCACCAAGCAGCGCGGCGTTCGCGCCACTCACTTTGCCGTAAACGGCTTAAGCGCGTTCACTATATGATTCTAATCCAAAAACCATAAAACCGACGAACGAACCAACCTACTCGGTCAATAATCAATACGTCAACAGTTCCTTTATTGAAGCTGAATAAATATTTAAAGACTTCGAAAAATTTCGTGGAATATCATCATCATCATCAAGGAGGATTGACATAGGGTGAGTATATTCAAATTATTAATTAATTAATTGACTTTCATTTTTAGCCTTGCTATTTTATCTGCTAAGGATAATGACATCTCTTCTATGTTAAACAATTATGAAGTTTGAAGATTTTGATAAATTACATAGGAAGGACATAACGAAGAATTTAATGTTAACGAAATATCTGACATATGTAATGCTAAAAAATGAAGGAACGCACAAAATAGAACGAAATAAGTAAAGTGCTAACTGAACCATTATTTTCCTGCCTGACATGGTATCTGATGTATCTCGTTATTGGATTCCCGCACCTCGTATATCACAGCCACCCCACAAACGAGCGGTCGAATCAGTGTTGCCGCGTTGTAGATTTTATTTCGTGTCTACTTTCAATCAATCATGCCCCAGACGTGGAGGTACCGGAGCACTGTATGATAAATCACCTAAAATAACGCCGTTAATTATGATTTCCCAGACGATCTCCACGGACACTTTTCGTCCACAATATTTATGGGTCATTGTAACGTTAACTGCTGATTACAATACATGACATAGGTGCTGTATACAGTATACATACAACCCGCCCTTCCTTTACGTGTCACGTTTCAAAGCGACTTTTCGCAGTGGGATCAATTTTCCTTTCCAATTTATTCCATTAATTATTATAATTACAACATGACTAAAGTTATAAATTAGATATATATGTACTTTTCCGACTTAAATACATACAATAATTCAACAACACTTGAGTATTTTATGCCAAAACGTATATTTGTAATATCTTTCCCGTTCGTTCTCAAAATGAATCATTAAATACAAGTACAAATAAGGGTAATTTACCACAACAGCTACACATTTTTAAAGGGCGTATTATTTGTTAGTGATGTAGGCGTGCTACCCATCCAGAAATAAGAGAAATCATCTCCTGGCAAAGTTAATGATCATGTGCCTGTCTTCCAGCTGTGAGGTCACCGTTGGCAGCAACAAATTACATTATTATTCACCGACACTCACACACGCCATTTTATTAAGTATACGCTATGTATCCCGACGCATTATGCACTGCGGCCCATTTGTCTTCGCGAACACACCCGACAACTGCTTAATGTAAAGACGTTTGTACGTGGGCACAAGAACAGGACCGGACTACGTGTACCGAACGTCCGGCCGTTAGTAACCGCAAGAGGCCCATTAAAAATAACATCAATAACAATTAATTACCAACAACAAGTCCTTGTCTATTAAATAACCGATAAATTATTCATGATTAATAGTTCCGGAAAACAGCAGGAGAATGAAAGCACAACGCAATCCGACGTTTTAACATTTGTTGTTCTATTGCTGAACGAATTTTTACAGAAAGCTTAAAATCATCGTAGGGCAGCTTTCTATATCCAGGATGTTTACGCTTAATCACAAATCGTGACATCTTCAAGCTGGAACTAAACAATTGGAAAAAAGTGGAGGATCTAAATGTCCATATTCGTGTCCAGTTGGTTGCATATTACACATTTTAATGACATATTATAAATAGCAAATTATTTAAAATTAATACATGTGGTATACACAAACGATTAGTGAGTACTGTTCGTTCACATAGAGAAAGGTATGGCGTGG